CCAGGGCTCCCCCACTCCCACTCCCACGTCCCCAGAGAAGAGACCACCCAGGGTGAAACATGGCGCCCATTGGCAATGTGCACCTACTGGATGCCAGGCCCAGCTTAACCCTTGCCCTCCTGCCACTTGACGGACTTCACTGGCCCTGGAGTCCGCCCATCTTCAGCCTTTTTGCTCAGGAGAGATTCAGGTGAGGGAACCGAAACCCAGAGACGGCAAACCCAGCCTGAGCCCGGCTGCGGCCAGCGAGCTGGAGAGCTGGCTGCTCTGTGGGTCACTGGGTGGGGGAGGCCCCACTTGGGAAATGGGGTCTGTGATCCTGGAGGCAGTGTACCAGCAGGTGCCCCCTCTGTGGCCAGAGTGGAGGGCCAGAGCTGACGGGTGCTTTCAGGTCACACGGCCTCAGGCAGCGCCTGACATGCCTCCTGGCCCTCCTGTCACTGGGTTCCCGGCCCAGGGCATCTGCAACCAGAGGCCCCACTGCCTGACGGGAGCAGCACCATCGTGTCCCCAAAGCCCAGGCCTTGGTGGGGTCCCAGGGGCACAAGGAATAGGACAGGCGGCCGTGGACTGGGCTGGCCTGACACCTCCAGCACCTGTCCATTCCCTGACCACGGCTGGAGTGGCCAGTGGGTCACTGAGCAATGCACCTGAGTGAGGAGCCCAAGGAAGCCAGCTCAGTGGCAGCACCTGAGGGGCATGGCGGGGACAGTGACATTGGGGTCCCCTGCCCACTGAGTACCTGAGCTTGTGGTCAGGGCAGCAGCCTCCTGGCAGAGGGGCAGGTGGGAGGAGCCAGAGGCCAGATTGGAGCCAGCTCACCCCCCTGAGTCCCACGTCAGGAAGGTGGGGTCCCACCCCAGGCTGCTCCTCACCCCCCATGGGGCGGGCTTTCTTGGCTCCTCACAAGCTTAGGTGGGTCCTTGATCTCCTTGAGCCTCTGAATCCCCCACCAGGCTCACCCCCAAAGACAGCCCTTACTCATCCAGGAGCAGACCCCCACCCCACCCTGCTGGCATCTGGGGCCTGGACTCCAGGCCAGGAGGGCTTTCTTACAGTGACCATGCTGGAGGGGTAGGCCCTGCCCCCACCCTGTCCAGCCAGGCCTGACTGCGGGGAACACTGGGGGGCAGAGGGGGCAGTTGTATAATCAAGCTCGGGGTTTTGCCGAGGCTGCCTGGACAGCCAGCAGCCTGGAAGTCGTGTGCTGGGGGCTTAGGCAGACGCCCCATCAGGCCTCTGTAGGGAGGGCAAGGGCCCACTGAGAAACCCAGAACCGGCAGTTAGGCTTGGGCCTCCCCGCCTCAGCCACGGCCAGGGCTCAGGGATGAACAGGGCTCCGTGGGCAGGTGCCACGCTTGGCCGACACATCCCCAGCCACAGTGACTGTGACCGCGGCTCACATGAGCTGTCCAGGCCTCACTGCCCACCCTGGGAGCTGCCCAGCCTGCCCCTCCATTTTTCCTTTTCGTGCTGCTTTCATTAGCGTGGAGCTCACGGGTGGGGTCTGGATGCCTGGAGGGGCAGGTGGGGCTCCAAGGGTCCTGCCAGGGGTCACTTCCCTTTTCCAAGAAGCTTTGGCACCAAAAGCATGCCAAGGTTTCGTTTCAGGGCTGCATCAGAAAAAAGAAAGTTGGCAAGGCTCTGACAGCTGCAGGTCAGTTTCGGGTCTATGTCCCCGCCTCTCTCTTCCTGGGTGCTGGCCCGGCCTAGGGCTACAGGGTGAGGAGGCCAGGTGTGGAAGGGCACCCAGGAGCCACACGCCCCACCTCATGTGCAAGGCCAGCACCCAACCCCCCCAGGGGGCCTCGCTGTGAGCAAACCAGTGAAAGCTTGGACCAGGCAGAGTGTGACGTGAGGCTCCTGACAGGACAGGGGCCAGAGCAGCGCAGAGGGGACCTGGCAGGCAGGGGGACTGGGGCAGGGACAGCATGCCACCTAGGGCCGCAGGGTGCTAAGGATTCCGGTTCTTTCTGCAACAATTTCTGGGTTCTGTGCAACCCCAAGGGAAGTCCCTGACGGATAGACGCTGCTTAGAACTTGAGCGAGTGTTTCTAGAGGAGCTTCCATATTAAATTGGCCCAAGATATGAAAAGATGAGTGGAGATAGGGGACTAGCCCGGCACAGAAGCGTCAGCGGGGAGCCTGGGCAGCTTCCTGGGTGTGGGTGGTGGGCGGAGGGGAGGGGAAGACGCCCAGGCCCGTCCAGGAGCTGGCAGCCTGCAGGGGGACAGGTCAGGCTTTCGGGGGCCCTCCATACCGTCTTCATGCAGCCCAGCATCTGCTCCAGCCCCACGCCATGGGCAGAGCCAACAGTGTGGCCCCAGGGCAGCTGGGGCTTCTGCCCATGGCAACAGTCCCACCTGGGCCCGAAGAGGCCCTGGGTAGAGGGGTCCCCTCTTGCAGCCCCAGACCCCAGGCTTTACAGACAGGGCAGGTTCTGATGAGAACAGATCCTAGTCCAGCAGAGGGAGTCCCACAGATCCTGGGGACCCCCAAAGCACAGCACAAATTGCATAGCCCTTGGTGCTGCAAGGGCTCAGAGGTGAGGGCCCCACAGCAGCTCCTCAGTCCTTCGCCCTCTGCAGAGCCTCCTGGCCCCAAGGAGTGGGACAGTGGGGAACTTGGGGGCTGGCCCACCCCGGGTCCCACAGGCACCATGTCCAGATGGGCACCTGCACTGGTGCACGCATCGTCACTAGATCCTGCGTTTCCGAGGAGGGGTGTGCAGTCCTGGAGGCGACCAGTTTGGGGGGAAGGAACCTGAGCACCTGCAGCCACATCCCACCCGACGGCCTCCCAGGTGGGGCGCCCAGGCTTGTGCAGTCATAGTACAGATGGGGCACAGGGCCAAGCTGAGAGAGCGGGGTGTCCGAGCTGCTCCCCTTGGCCACCTCACCACCATCTCTTCCCTCTTGCCTGCGGGCATGCCCACGCTCAGTGCAGTCCCACACGGGGTAGGTATACCAGCCCCCCAAGAGCACCACAGCCTCAGCCCGTGCCTACCTGCCCACTGGCCCTGGCACACACAGGCCTGGGCTTCCTGCCACCCTCTACCTGCTCACCTGTAACTCCTGTCAGAGCCAGGCCGCCCAACCCCAGGCAGGAGAGGTGTCACCTGTGGCCTCAACTTCTGCATCCTTAGAACCCATCCATGGTCACCCCCAGGCCTGTTCATCCACTTCCAGAGTGGCCAGTGCCTGTCCCCGCGTCACAGGCTTCATGGGACGGGGGTCCCAGGGCCAAGGAGCCTCGAGCAGGCCTGGCAGAGCCTCTGACCCGGTGATTCCTGGGGGCCTGGAGGGCAGCATTTCCCAAACTCACTGGGGTGAGGGGTGGGGGCGAGGGGAGGACCTTAGCCGTCTGTCACAGAACGGCTGGGGTAAACGCTGTCGTCCGGGCCCCTCTTGAGCCTGTTGGTCAGGTGGCTCCTGGCATCAGGCAGCTGCGCGGCCTCCCAGGCTGCTGCGCTCCGCGGAGCCGAGAGGAGAAACGCGTGAGAAATGAGCACGGCTGTCCAGGTCCGCTCACCCGACAGACACTCGCTTCCCTCTGAGCGCCTCCGGCAACGTGGCCCCGCCCTCTGTGCCCTCCTGCCAGAAGCCAGCCTTCCTTGGATGCCCCCACACCTTCCCACCAGCCTCCAAGCACTTGGTGACTAAGTGTGGGAAGGACGTCTTGGCACAAAGCTCAGTGAGTGGTCACTGGGTGGTCCAGTGGGTGGGCAGATGGACCGAGAGAGGATGGGCTGGGTGAATGGCGGGTGCTCAGGACCAGCCCAGCACCCACCCGTGGCAAGTGGGGAGCCGGGATCATGGTGAAGTGTGCGTGACTATCAGTAGGGTGGGGTGCAGGGGCCCAAACACAGCACAGGTGCTTGTTCTCAGCCTTCCTGGTGTGCTCTGCCAGGAAGCCCCGGCTGTTGCTGGGAGGGTGCGGGGTGAGCAGGAGAGCCCAAGCAGCCCAGGTGGACCCCGGTGGGCAGGCCGTGGGAACAGGCGGGGCCCCCCAGGCCCCACTGCTCCGTGGCATCTGCCTACACTGAGCAGGCCGCCCTGGAATCCCTGGGCCTCCGCAGCCGTTCCTCAGGAGTGGCATGTCAGGTCCCACAGGTCCCAAATGCCGACTCCCTCAGGGGCCCAGCCGGAGCCCGGGGCCCACCCTCCAGCGCTCTGCCTGCCTGCTTCATCTCCTCCGGCTTCGCTTTCCCGAACTTCGCATCCCCGCCCCTGCCCGCGGCCTCAGGACACTCCTTTGTCCAACAACTCTTGTCCCAGGGCCCCGTAGCAGGCACACGAGGCAGGCATGGGTCTGCGTGCTCCGTAGACGGGGCAGTGGCCGGCCACCGGCTGGGGGACACAGGGATGAGACCTGAGGGCTCTGGGCCGTGTGGGGCCCTGCTGGCCTCCTCACAGGCTCAGTGGGTGCCCCACTGCCCCAGCATGGGGAGCTCCCTGGACGGGGGGTCGTGCCCTTCGTGCTGCGGCCTGATCCCCATCTCCAGGCCGGGACTGGCCATGGCTCTCACCACCTCGCCCTACTGCTGTCAAACCAGGGCCCAGCCTCACCATCACTGCCGCCCACAACCACCAGTTCTGTCCCCGAAACCCTTCCCACCCCTTCCAGCCGTCGGGGGCGTGAGCCCTCCCCACGCACCTCTGCTCTGCCTGCGTGGCCTGCCAGGGCCCCCCCCTCTTCTCACCAGACTGGGCCTCCTCTCCTCGACTAGTGGTGGCCATGTCGACTCTCCCCCACACACACACCAGGCCTGGCTCCCGGCTCCTCCCGGAGGCCCCCGATGGCACGGCCTGCTACCCACTCCCCTCAGGTACAACAGGGTCAGGAATGGGGTGGCGAGGAGGCCAGATGCCTCTCAGGGGACTTTCTGGCCTGTTGCCTTCTCACAGGAATGGGGGGAAGGGTTACCCAGGGACCAGGGGCCCTTTCTCCCATAACCTTCTCTCACCCCAAACCCCCAGCCCAATAAGCACAGATACCCATTATATACAAAACAATTTAATTGAAATACCTGTATAAAAAAATATGATTTCCAGACATCTTACTTTTGAACTGAAAGAACCCCTGTCCCTGATGCCTACACACCGGGACCACAGAAACAGCTACTAAAATAAATTAAAAGGCTTGAGACTCTTCCCCCCACCCCCCTAGCTTCCAGAGCCAACAAGCAGACTGTACAAGAACAATAATTTAAAACCCACCTCCCCTGGGGCGCAGAGCCTGGAGGTGGCGGACTCACCCACTCCCCTTAAATTAGCCACTGTACAAGTCCATCCTCCGACAGAGGCAGGTAGGGTCGGGACCTGGGGTCCACACACAGCCACCCCCTCCCCACCCCAGGGGCCTAGAGGAGCAGGGCTGCTGAGAAGGACGCCCCTACAAATAAATTAAACAATAAATAGCCCTCCGCAGGGGTCACACCATAAATAGACGTGCGCACGCACGCGCACACACACGCAGCGTGCATGAGTGTGGGCGGCAGAGGCCGGAACGTTGCATTGCTTGTGCACAGACATGCCCGGACGAACACCGAAGGATAAGGGCGCGGGAGGTGGGCACGAGGGACCCTGTGCCCGGTGAGATGAGGCCACAGGACACGAGGATGCTCCTGGTCTAACTTGGTCAGATGGGGAGGCGCTGGGGGCCGACTGGGCTGCCTCCCAAAGCACAGGACAGGAACAGTCTCGGGGTCAAGCACCCGCCCAGGACAGGCGGAACCTCGCTTCGACCGGAGGTCTTTGGACAGACAGAGCTTGAGAAAACCAAGTCCCGTGAGAGCAGCGTTCGAAAAGGCACTCAAAGCAAAGGAAACAGGCCCGGTGCCAAAAGCAAAGGTCACCAGGGGTCAGAGATCACTGCTTTCTCAAAGAGCAGGCGACCCTGACAGGACAGGCCCTGTAAAGGGCCAGGCTAGGGCAGGTGGTCCCTCTGGTCCCACAAGCCAGATGCAGGTCCCTCCTCATAAGCTCTCGCTGCTGGAGGTGGTGCTGGCCCCGTCATCTGCGTCCAAGGCACAGAGCCGCAGGTCACAGCTCTCGGGGGTGCCCCCGTCTTCCCCCAGCATCCAGGGGTGGGTGGAGATCTGGTCCAGCGAGGGCCGCTCTGAGGGTCGCAGGGACAGACACCACTGAATGAGCTGCTGACACTCTACAGGGAAGGAGAGAGGGTGAGGCAGGGCCCAGCTCCTGTCCTGGGCCCCGACCCCGAGTGCCGCCCAGTCCAGGCCCCTCACACACCTGGGGAGACCCTCCTCCGGAAAAAGAGACGGCCCCGCAGAATCTCCTCATCCTGTTCGAAGGGGATGTCCCCACACACCATGTCATAGAGCAGCACGCCCAGAGACCAAACGGTGGCAGAGCGCCCGTGGTAGCGGTGATAGCGGATCCACTCTGGAGGGCTGTACACCCGGGTGCCTGGGGAACACACAGGGGTTAGGACGCACACCCCAGGCGCCAGCGCTGCACGAAAACACCAAGACCGTGAGCTCCCAGCTAACCTTCTCAGAGGCCTGAACCACAAGAGGGAGCCAGCCTCGAAATTCTGCTTGTCATCACCCTGGAAAAACCCCACGGGCGTGGCCTCCCCAGGGCTGGCCCAGCTGGGGGAGGAGCCGGTCACATGGGCGACGGCTCGGGTTTCACAACAAACAGATGTGAGATGAGGATTCGATGGGGGGGCCCAGGGAGGCGGGAGGAAGAGGAGGAGGGAGGCGGGGGGAGCCCCGGCTTCCCCGCGCTCCGCAATGCGGGGATTTCTGCAATGCGGGGTTTTCTGCCAGCGCCCCCGCGCTGGCTGGGCACGCACGTAGCGCCCGCCCCGCACAGGCGGAGGCCGGAGCAGCACCCGCTCCAACATCCCCAGGGTCTGGGCGCTCCCCATGCGGACCCGCGCGCAAACACCGCGACCTCACGGTCCCCTGCCTGCGGGGCGCACCCCAACACCGCCGGAGAGGGCGGTCTCGAGCCCGCCCCTTGCTCCCACCCACCGCGAACCCACTTCAGATCGTCGGCTCGGTGCCCACTCGAGCGTGCCTGAGGCGCGCGGCCTCAACAGTCACCAGCCGCCCCACCCCCACCCCCGCTCGTTACCGGTCGCTGGA